AGAGGGAGAAGAGGACAACAAACGAGGGGCTGTGACAAACTGTTTCGTCGGAGTTTCACCGACTCATCAGGAGGCTGTATACATATTTTTCGTATTTTTCTTTAATTATTCTTTTTTTTCCCGCTTGTTTGTTTTTGTCTTGAAAGAGGGGAAAGAAGAAGGTTTTACGCAGGCGCCCGCTGTGCAATGGAACGACAAATGCGATGTCCCTTTTTTTTTTCGGCTTTTTTTTTGCCTTGTGGGGTATCTACTGCGATCAAGAATGAGTTGTGAATCTTTAAGACCTGTCTTTTTTTTTGTCATATTCCCTTTGTTTTTTTGGGTTTTTTTTTTTGGGTAGTGGTCGGCATATCTAGAACGATGCATGGCATCAAGTATATTTTTCTTATGTTATTTTTTTTGTGGCACGGCCGGGCAAGTGATCCCGGCCCGCTCTGTTAGTCTAGCTTATGGTTCGATTTGTTTTGTATTTCGGGTTTCTTTTTTTTTTTTTCCCGCGGTACAGATGATTCGGTTGTCAGAGAATGGATTTTTTGGTTTTCTTTTCGAAACGGGCGGGGTATGCACTGTGATCAAGAATGAATTGCGAATTTGTGACCTGTCTTTTTTTTTGTCAATTTTTCTTTCCTTTTTTGTCATTTTTCCTTTCCTTTTTCTCGGTTTTTTTTTTTTTTTTTGCAGCGGTCAGCATATGTACAACAATGTAGAGTACGGGTGCTGCGTGGGCAACGTGTGTGAGCACAGAAGGTCGGAGCCCCCCCCCCAAAAAAATAAAATAAAATCCCCAAAGCAACTATGGAAGTTGCCAGTCACGGCCTTTGAGACTTACCTGTTGCCGTACTCTCTCTCTCTCTCTCTCTCTCTCTCTCTCTCTCTCTCTCTCTTCGCGCATTCCTAATATAGTAATTGCGAGACTCGACTGGAAGTACATACGATCGTCATTTTGTGGTTTTCCACCGACCAATTCTGTCGCCAAAGTTCTGCCCATGGAGTGAGCAGGTATGGCCTCTCTTACCTCCTCCTCCTCTCCCTCTCCTTCCTGTATGTCCGTCTTTCCTCCCCCAGCCTTATTGCATAAGGCTATGGTCCGTCGATCCTTGTGTCTCGCCTTCTCTGGACGTCGTTTCATTTTAAAAATTTTAAATGTGGCAAGAGCGAGGCTCTCTCTCTCTCTCTCTCTCTCTCTCTCACACACACACACACACACACACACACACACACATTCCATCGATAGGATGAGCAAAAACGAAATGAATCTTCCGCTGAAACGTGGAAACATACACTGCCACTTTTTGATTTGCTCATTCTATCTATCCAAGTAGCGTTCGGCACTGCGGCGAGCCGTGGGGTCGGAGACAGCTGTTGGCCGAGGTTGGAGACTTATCGGCTCTCTCTCTCACACACACACACACACACACACACACATTCCATCGATAGGATGAGCAAAAAC